CACTCTGTCTCCTTCTCTCTCTCTCAAAAATAAATAATTTTTTTTAATTTTAAAGAATAATACAATCTAAGAGGCAAGCAAAAATGAGCTGTAATTTTACAGATGAATTCTAGAAGTTGAGGCTGACTGAAGAATATCAACCTTACCATGTTAGGTAAAACATACTGATCCTGGAATATGAAAGGATAATCAAGGGCCACACAATGAAACCACTTGCTTTCTCTCTGACTCCCCAAGATTTCTGACACAGTTCAGTTTTTACTGCATCAAAACACTGTGTTAGGCTTGATGGGAAAATTAACAAGCATATAAGACCTGTTCAACTTTGAGAAGGTTATAATTTGATATTTATGTCTCTATATGATTTATGGTATAGTAGTAAGTTTGAATCTTGTCTTCACCACTTATTAAATTCAGGAATTTGGTTTAGTTGTTTAACTTCTCTACCTTTCAAATCACCCTTTCAGGGTTGTTGTGAAGACCAGAGATATTAAATCTTAATAGTCTAGTACATACCAAACACTCAGTAAATGGTAATTCTTATTATGTGTTCATACACATGAACCATGCTCACTTTCACTTTCTTCAAATAAAGGAACAAAAAATAGAAATTAGAACAAACCAGTCAGTTAACAATTATAGTTTTAATAATTATAACTTAAGATTTCAGAGAAATATCGCCCACTTATCCCAAATTGGCTTCCATGTAAGTATAGTTCCATAGATACAGACTGTGTGCAAAGAGAATTAGACTGTGGAGTCTCATGTTATGATAAAAAAATAATGAGCTTGAAAAGAATAGCCCCTTTATCTAATTATCATATAAAACCTTTAATACTGGGAGAGGAAAAGAATTAAAAGAAATAGAAAATAATTAGAAATGGAAAATTTTCTTAGAGAGATACTTCAGTTGATTTTCCATGAAGGTGAATTTAAACAATAAAATAAATTTTGAGAAGAGAGAGCAAACTAAAAGGAAAGTAAGGTTAATGCTAATATCTCTTAAACAAAACAATCACAGCTTGACACAGTATAATTTAAGTGATTAAGAGCATGAATTCTGAAGTCAAACTGCTGAGGTTCAAATCCTGGCTCTGGATTTACAGTACTTTTTGACAACTTTTTTACTTCTTTATACATCAGAATGGGAATAATACTAGTACATTTCTTATTATAGCATTATGATAATTAAATGAGTTAACGTATGCAAAATGCTTAGAACGGTGCCTGGTGCATAGTAGGTCCTAAACAAATGTGATTATCATCATCACCATCATCATTACAATTATAATTACAGATATGGTGAGCACAATTCCGAAAACCATCTGAAAAGAGGCAATTTCATAGAGCCAATATGGAACGTTTCTTCTGCATATTGATTAACTTGTGGTTAGTTAATTTATTTGGTGAAATATTCTGCCAATGTGTCCAAAACCAAAGGTTTGATTATCCTGTGGGTCTGCTGGCTGCATTCCATGACCACATTAAGACACTAATACTGACCAGCTGTATTCAACAAATTCTCCTGGTTTTAACAAAGGTGACAGGTAAGAAAATGTAAACTGATTAATCTAAATTCATGAAAAACTTTAGGAAAAATGAATGTACAAATAAATTCCTATTGATCATAGTTTTGTCACACGATCTTAATATAAGTTGTTTGTAGAAAAAAAATAGAGACAAAAAAATGACTTAAACAAGATCACATGATTACTTTGTGTCAGGGCTAGAAATCTTAGCCCATATTTCTTTTTGTTTTGTTTTTCCATTATCCTGTATTCATTAAATATAAAATGCTTTTGTTATCTTTGAGAACTTCCTATTTAGAAAATTCTATTTCTGTCATTATAGTTTATTATGCCATTATGAAAAACTTTGTTTCAACGACAGAATGTGGAATTTTGAGGCCATCATAAGACTTCCTTATGAGAAAAATGGGAAGCCATTTTGAGGTTTTGAGCACAGAAAGAGAGACCTTACCTGACTTAAGTTTTCAAAAGATCACTTTGCCTTAAGAACAGATGATGGGGAAGGGCAGGGATCAATTAGGCGGTTATCACCATAATCCAGCTGAGGGATGACAGTGCCTTGGACTGGGATTGCAGCAAAGAGAATGGCAATAAGTTGTCAAAGTCTGGATATGCTTGGATGGTAGCACAACAACATTTCCTTTTATGTTAGATGTGAAGTGTGAGAGAAAAGAGGACTCATGAACGCAAGAGAATATAAATCTTCATTGAGGAAGTTCTAATGTTTTTAACTAAATGCCTCTTGCTACAGTCTAAACAATGACTTACTCATCTTCACCTCTATGAAAAGAGGTCCATCACCATCTGTACAATGTGCTCTTGTAAATCTGGACTCAGCCAGAATCATATACTATGTGCTATGAAAAATACTGAACAATGGCTCCTGAACTCAAAGGAGTTTATCATTTAGTAAATGAAACAGTCTCTAAGTAGAAGGGAGATATGTTTAACAGCACTGCAAATGTAGCCAGAAGTTGCAGCCTTATGTTAAACTGTAACCCTTCTGGGTATGCCTGCACAAATAAGAGAACCAAGCCCACCAAATGTCCATCAGCAGGAGAGACAGAAGAGAAGGAGATAGAATGCATTTCTCAGGAAGTGGAAGAATCAAACATCTGAAGGGAAAGCTAATTCTAGTTATAATGTAGTGTTACTACTTGGCTTGGTTCCCTGTTCAGCTCCCTATGGACTCATATATGAATTCATATCTCTTCCAGGGAAGGGAGAGAACTGTGAACTAAGAATTTAAAAGGCCATTTCCCCCCAAATTCTCTAAGATATGAGAGTAACGGCCAATACCACTCTGATAGATGCCCATAGAATATAACCCAGAAAGGCAGAGAAACACCAAGTGTGGCAGGCTTTGGCATCTCAGGGACCCCATGCATCATTGTCAATAACCACTGGTACAGGGAACAGCATCTTCAGAAGCTCAGGTGTTCACTGTCATGACAATTCCCTATGATCTGTCATTAGGACCCAGCAGAGGTAAGGCAGACAGAGAGAGGAATATAAGAGGTAGATGTATCATGTAACTGACTTTTTCACAAGCAACCATGTAAGAGACTCAGAAATACTTGTCTGAACTCAGCTATATTATTAGCAAAAGCCAGAGAGGTAAGTTATATTGCCATCTTTGTTCTGCTTTAAAATAGTGATGAAAGGGGCCCCTGGTTGGCTCAGTCAGTTAAGCTTCCAACTTTGGCTCAGGTCATGACCTCGCAGTTCGTGGGTTTAAGCTACACATTGGGCTCTGTGCTGACAGCTCAGAGCCTGGAGCCTGCTTCAGATTCTGTGTGTGTGTCTCTCTCTGCCCCTTCCCAACTTGTGCATTCTCTCTCTCTCTCTCTCTCTCTGTCTCTCTCTCTCTCTCTCCCTCCCTCAAAATTAAATAAACATTAAAAAAATAATGATGATGGGATGAGTTCTTTACATTCTAGTTACTCACTGCAATATTTTATATAATTATATTTCACAGTTAGGCAGTCTGTATACCCCAAAGCTCACATATTTGCCACATCTGTTTAAAGTACCCAGAATCCAGGAAGACAGCCTCTTCATGGATATTTAAGAGAATGAATTTTGAAAAAACAGACAACTCTTCTTTTGGAAATGGCAAACATGAGAATATTTTTAAGACAAGTGCCCTTCATAAAAGCAGTCATTTTACAAAATCAATAAAAACAATATCTGTAGGTCCTCATACATATATTACCAACCTTATTTTGTAGAACACAACAATGCTGCTTACGTCCCTTTCACTCATGAAGGAAATAATATTCCTTTTTTTAAATACTTTTTTAAGACTTGCTTTAAATGGCTTCACACAACTGCATCATGTTGAAGAAGCCAAAATGACATTTGTGGCAGTATGCCAATTTTACTCAAATTTAATAATTTTTTCTTAATTTTGAATTACTTTTTGACCTGAATTCTGTTTATCCCCAAAAGAGAGTATTTGTTTGTTTATTTATTTATTTGTATTTCTAGCCTACCTTCTTTTCAAAAGTCTCTAGTACCTCTAGGTCCAGATGATACTGAGATTAGTATTATTACTATTACAGACATTATCACTTCAAGGACAGAGGGACTCCATGCACGTGGTGAGGATGTCCACACCATTACTACTCAGTGTCCTAGAGAAGAGGATTAGCGGTTGAGGTATTTCAATAGGTGAGATATATGTTGTATTCTAGCCAGTAGTGGAGATACAAGGAGAAAAGGAATCTGGAAGATGAGTGTGACAGAGTCAGGGATCAGTGGAGGCTTTCCATTAAGTAAACTCAGTAGGTTCCTCAGAAAAATTAAGCAGTTCCTTTGCACAATATTATTAATAGGCAAATTAAACAAGATACCTGTTATGTCAAAACTGTGTGAAAAACACAGTGATACTGAAAATCTATTCCCACAAAAGTACATATGATCTAGAAAGAAGAGCATAGGTTTTGGAAGCCACCACCTGCTTTTTCAGGAGTCACGTGCTGAAAGCATCGCTCAGCCACCCCATCCATGTAAAAGAACACATTGTCAGCTTCCACGGTTCAGCTGCATTTGGCCAGCCATTCATGTTCCCTATCTTAATATATACTTCACTGCTACCCCTCCTCCACAAACACCTCATTAAGACTTCTATGCTTTTTGAAGGCATAAACATGGGTGCGCTTTAAGGGGCTGGGGGGTGGGAAGGGCCAGAAGCAACTAAAAAGAATGGTTTTCTAGAATAAAAAACATTCTGGCAACAACTTCCCACCTTTTTCTGAAGTAGTTTCATCGTCATGTCATTGACTGCCCTGCTCTTGTCTAGCAGGAACATGACAATGAGATCTAGAGCTAAGGTTCAGCCCAGCAGACCCTCTTTGGAGTCAGATGTCCAGATTTGTGACAGCAAGTATATGTGAGCCAAAATGTGCATGTGTGTGTATGTGAGCGTGCATGTGTGTGTAAGAAAGAGTGACAGAGATTGAGGTTTACCTTCCAATGAGGGAGAACTCTCCCACAACGCCAAGGCGCCGCATGGCACTCAGGAGGCCTCGGACAGTCATGCCTTCGCAGAAGCAGACGACCACTCTGGCTTTGGGAAGCCTCTCCCGAAGCTTGCGCAGGAGTCTGTCAAAGCTCTTTTCCCCAGCATTGCTGTAGATTTTGTCTGAGTGGGCGATGCAGAGGCCTTCCTGGGCAGCCAGCTCTTTGAAAGCATCCATTCCGCTCTCCCCATAATTCCCTGTCCAGAAACAATCAGCAGATGTTCAAGACAACCTGGCAGTGCAGCACTAACAAGCTTGAATAAAGACTCATTAGTTGCAAGGAATGGAGAGGACAGACTTGCCAAATAATTTGTAAATATAACTGGAACTGAAGGAAGATTTGGATGGATTCAAGAGAGTAATCAATTGTAATCAAATAATCAACCCTGTGAAAATAATGAGAAACTATCTAACCAGGGCATCCCCAGTGAAACAAGTTTTGAGAAATAAAGGACTACTGCCCTATTTTACAGCAGCAATTAGTAGTGGTTGTCACAGATTTTAGCAATGTGGGAAAGATCACCATATTGAGGTAAGAGGTCAATCAATACAATGAGAAGTCCTGTTTATTTGAAGGCTCACTTCTCTGGCTTCCAGTTAGTTAAGAGGCAGACACTCATGATGATAGCAAACCCTACAGCACTTTCATGAAGAGTAAGCAAAACAAATGGAACACTTGGCCAAGCCAGAATAAGTAGACAAGAACTAGATGCATGGTTTAGTCAAAATCCATGATCCTCTGATGAAGTGATAGGATAATGGGAGATTTGGCCTTATTTAACTATAATTCTAAAATAAAGCGTACTTTAAGAACTTATAGAAATCAGTGAAATAAAAACAAATATCACATTATACCAGTTTTCCATTTCTCTATTTCACTGCTGACTCTAGCCCCCATCTTAGTGTCCTCTATACCTCTACCCGTTTCCCCAAGTTTGGAGTTTTTGACACCTCTGCAGATGATCCAATACCACATCCCCCAAGTTTCTCAACCCCCTCTGTCCAGTGATATTTCCTATAACTCCCCCCCCCACACACCTCCATGGTCACACTTTAGACCTTGTTGTCACAAATGTTTCCAATATCTCTGAATGTAGATGTCAAACATCCCAGTCTCTGTTTATTTCCCCTTATCTTTCAAGCGCATACATTCTGCTACCCCTACTCCAACATTTCTTCAACCCTATGGAAACCTCAAATCCATTCACTTCCCGATCTTTCTTTCCATCCTCCCTTTCATTTGCCTCTTAGCCCAAGGGCTCATATCTTATAGCCTATCCTCATAATTACTCCCTTACAAATTCTTTAACTCCCTGTGTCTTCCTGACAAACTTCAATTCTAGTTAAACCAAACCATTCACCTATTCTATGTCTACACTTGAGGACCTAAGTATGCCTGGAAAAACCCAGTCTTGATGATTGGTCTTACTAAAACTTCATAAGCAATCATATGAAAAGGGGCATTCAATATTGCAAGGAAATCATACAACATATCTTCCATAAATAAAATCCCCTAGTCCCTAACATGATTATTTCATCCTTACTCTTTCCTCTTTAAATCTCCAAGCTATTGACCCCACCTCCAACCCTCATCTCAGCTGGAATCTTAATTTCATATTTCAGTAAGAACACAGAAACAACCAGACAAAAACTAACTCAGCCACACACCACAACATCTACAAAGTTTTCTTTGTTGGCACTCATTTCTCTGGCGTTTCTCCAGCTGCAAATTTGAAGTGTTTCCATCTTAGGAGAGAGCCAACTCTTACTCATAAACACTAGGTCTCATTGCTTTATGTCTATTCAAGAACTTTATCCTGCAATTGTCCCCTCTCTTTGGTAAAAATCAATTATTTCCTTCTACTGGTGTCAATAAAAATTAAAAAATAAAAATATTTGGACCCTTTTTCCCACTTGAGTTACTACCTCATTTGCCACTCCTAGTCACAGCCTAGCTCTGTGTTTGGTTCACCATCTGCCATTCTCTCCTTTACCACTCTTCCCATACCCTCAGAATCTTCTCCTTTTTAAGTCACCAAAAATTTCCCTGTTGCCTATGTTATGATCTGTTCTCTGTCTTCATCTTTATTAACTACTCAACTGCATTCAACAGCTGGCCACACCCACCCTGACATCCTCTCAGTATCAGTCTCTGTAACGCATTCTTTCATGATTTACTCACCATTTACTGACTACTCCTTGATGTATGTTGCTAGATTTTCCTCCTCTGCTCAACCTAGAATATTGCCATGCCATGACCTGATCGCATTCAGTCACATTCCTTCAAACACCATTTGAATATTATGGTTGAATCCCAAACGTAAGTCTGCAGACCAGACTGCCCTTTGGAGCAAGATTAACATACTCAGTTGCACCCTGATACATCCACTTACAGACATCACAAACTTATTTGAAACAGAATGTTTTCCCTCTCCACCTTGCAAACCTGCTCTTTCCAGGCATCTGCTGCTAGTAAATAATGCCATTGCCCACCACACTACTCAATAACAAAGTTTAGGAACTCTTTTGATTTCTAGCCTTTTTTCTAATGTTCCAGATCCATTCCACAGATTGTGTCTCTAAAACATTTCTAAGCTAGTATCCTCCATTTTAACCTCAGTCATCCTAAACCAAGTGTCTTAGGTCAGGTTCCCTGAAAACAGAGCTGAGATAAAGATTCTTGTTCAACTTACTTATTAAGAAGAAGAGCTAGAGAATCAGTAGACAGGTCAGGAATCGTAAGCAGGAATGTCATCTAGCCACTGATTAGCTTCAGTATGATCCACAAGGAAGTGCTACAGCAAAAACTATAGCACAAAGTTAGCCCCACCTTTAGGCAAGAGGACCCCTTTGACAGTCAGTCATTGGCTAAGGTCCATAAGATGGGAGGTGGGCCACAGGTAGCCTCTCAGGAAGGAATCAACTGAGATTTATAAACGCTTACTTTCAAAGTAGCTGGGAGGTTGGGGTACAAGGCAGCTACACGGAATCTGGACATGCCATTAACAGCATTCTCTATTCCAAGTAATTGTCAGTTCATGCCTCTACAGCTATCCTATACCCTGATTAGTCTCCGTGCATCTACTCTTGTTCCCAATGATTCATTCCACACCTGACAAACAGAGTGATCAGTTAAGGTGTAAATCAGATTATATCACTCCTCTTCAAAAACTTCCAATCGCTTTCCAACATACTTGGATTGCCTCCTTCCCCCAAACTGCCAGGCCTTTACAAGGACTAAGCCTTTCTACTTCTCCACTCTCATCTCTGCTCACTTGCCCTCTCCCACCTTCTCTAGACCAATAGCCTTCTCCCTCTCCTTGGAATACCATAAACCCACTTATGCCTCTATATTACCTGTTTCCATCTTATCTCAACATAAATATCATCCCTTATGAAAAACCTTTTCTGATCAGTTACCTTAAGGAAACCTCCCAGTAAATCCTGTTCATGTCCCTTGATATTATCTTAGAACATATATCTGATACTTTTTCTTGTTTATTTTTCTCTTCCCTCTAGAATATAAGCTCCGTGGGAATACCTCATTATGACTTATCCAATGACGTATCCTTAATATTTAGAATAATTCTAGACACTAAATAAACATAAATGTTCATTTGTTCTAACAGCACAATACAAAAAGGAGCAAAGTTTAGAAGTAAGCAACTTGAACAAAATAAGCAAAAGTGGATGATAAGCATATGAAAAAAATTACTGGATCTCATTAATTATCAAGACATGCCACTAAAACAAGGTATTTTCTCACCTAGCAGATTGCCAGAATTACAAAAATTAATAATATTCAATGTTGGCAAGACAATAATACATTTCCTTTTGGTGAAAGCAATTCAAATTTTTGGTAGACAACTTGGCAGTAGTTTTCAAAAATTTTTGAGGTAAATATCAGTATTTAATATATACATGATACAATAAATACATTAATACTTAAATAGTTAATGGTTAAATAGTTAAATTTATTAATAGTTAAGTCAAAATAATTTTAAAAGAATGATACTCCTCCAAAAAAAAAAAACAAACACAAAGAACTTAGGACTTAAAGTTCAACATCTATAAAAGTTTCATGGGCACTATAATAAAACCTAATTAGAGTTTTCTATATTGTTGTAATCCAGTCCAATGAAGCCCAAATGGAAGGATTAAAACATCACAAAATCCTCAGCTCCATGGACTGTGGAAAAACATCATGGCTCAGACAAGAGGCATTGACTGATTATAGGGGTGAAAACTAGCTGAAAAGTGAACACTCATTTGTCTACAGAAGAAAGTTTGAGAAAGGATATCAAATGCCAGTTTACCATAGTAAATACACCAGGTACACAAATACCACTAGCCAACTCTCTTAGAAAAAGCACTATCATCAGTTTGTTGTTACAGGGCAGTAACTTCATTGCTAAAGTGCCATCCTTGGATTTCAATTACAGAAAACTATTTTATTCCCTGCTTAAAATAAATGCAGACTAACTGAGCAAGAATGTTCTATGTATTCAAATAACAAAATCTTTGTTTTCTAAATCTAGTAAAGGTCTTAGATATACTCTGTCTAAACCCCTCAGGTTACAGACAAGGAAATTGAACCACAATGGGGCAATGGCTCACCAACAGGCATGAAGCTTGTTGTGTTAGAACTAGAGCATCTGTGAATGACGTGACTCCTAGGTTACTGCTCTTTTTACTTAATAGCAAAAGTCAATTAAATGTGCATGTTTTCATGGTCCAAAAAAAATGTCTGCGTAGGTCAAATGGTTTCATAAAATATTTGTCCCATTTACTGTATTCATATTTTCTTGTTCACAGAGCAATTCTTCATTATAGAAATTGATAGCTGAATATCATGCATTGGGCCATGTTTAAACTGCCCATTTTTCTCATAGTGCCCAAAAGTCTCCAAAGTAACACATAAATTTCCATGAAAGGAGTTCTACCATAGGAAAAACAATAATACCTTGCATGTTTATAAGTGTTTATACTTTAAAAATTTAATTCATAAACATTATCTTCTCTTAGAACAACTCTTAGAACAACAGCCCTATTGTACTCATTATATTGATAATAGTACTAGGTACAAAGACCAAAAAATGGGAAAAATTGCCTACACATAGTTCAAAATCATGTTACTTTCATTTAGTAGCAAAAGAATTAATGACATGACATGGACAAGTATAAGTATCTAATAGAG